CAGTTCATATACAGGTCCCTCTTCATGGGTAAGTCCCTCATAAAATCAGAGGGATTAGAAGAAATACATCTCCTGTGGTATTTTCTATTTCACAAAACAATGAGTGTCCTGCCTGAAAGCAATGCAAAACTGTCTACCCACGACAAAGCACCAGAGTCTGGATTAAAATTACAAACAACTCATCAATTAAATAGTGTCAGGCAAGCCTGAGCCACAGGACTCATTAGTATAAACAACTTGTTCCTAAGTATCCTAATGCTGTGTCACGGTAATACAGTTGGTTCTTCCTGTTCTGGCAACAACACAACTATAAAATTGCTTTTACTACTACCTCATAACTGCTACTATAATGAATCATATATATCTGTGTTTTCTGATTCTAAACATCTATATGGAAGTCCATCCTAATTGGAAAGTGAATACTGAGTAGTTTAAACATCCCACCATAAACTGTGCACACATCAATTCTGTCAGTTTTCATTCACATGGAAAAAAATGACTGCATGCTGGTAAGGAGACATGAGTGACAGTGAATAGTGAGAAGAAATTATAAGACAGCATTGTTCAAAGTCATGTGCTACATGTGAAGAAGAAGAAACTTATTCCATTTTGGCTGGAGATTTGTGCCACACTCAACAGCAAATCCCTTGCTAATGTGAACCAATGGATTTAGTTATTAAAGGAAGTATACAAATGTTGAAGGAGGATAATCAGACAATAAATCACAAGAGGAATGCAGAACAACTAAAAAACATTGTAAACAAATCCACAGTGGCCTTGGTACAGACAACCACAATCCCAATACTTGGAAATTATGAAATCACAACTCTGCTGTATTCTGGGCCTTTTCCATTATGGTAACTCCAGCAGCTGATTGCCTACCATTTCCCCCTTCAATGTACACTAGAAACTATTCCTTCTATTTTGATTTGAATGCTGGAGACATGTTCCACACAGAATTCCTTTTCTGGTAACTGCAATGGATATATGACTACTGGACTCAAATTTGTAATTTGAAAACTCAGAGATGGTACAGTCCATTAATTTAAGTATTTAGTTTGTAAAATAAGAGGGAAGTAAGTTCATTGATCTGGAGAATAAAAGGATGGGAACAAAAGTCACCTGAGCTGTCAAAAGAGTGCTGTCTCAGAAACATTTTGTATAATTATGGAGATACAGCTTTAATATGTCTTCCAAAGCAGAATTCACTCCACATATTTAAATGAGTAACAAACGCAAATATCTTTAAGAACTCTGAGCATCAAACTCTGGCTAATCTCAAAGAGGTGATGTTGTGCAATTTTATTTTAATATATGTTAATCTCTTTATGCCTATGAACATATTTTAAATGATAGTGGGAAAGGTGATGTGATGTTGAGTTTATTTAGCTCTAGGAAGCTGTGGTTATTTGAATGTCTAGAGCATCCTGTTCGTCTAATGAAGTGCTGACTGACCAAGAACAAGACAGAAGAAAGGATAGGCAGGGATGCAAGGCAGATAGAATAAATAAATATGAGAAGTGCAGCACACAATGAATATGAGAAATCCAGCAGAAGAGATGAAGGGGCAAGGAAAGCACATATAAGTATCTTAAGACAGAGCAAGAGTAAATAAAAATAAGATACACAGAAGTAAGGAATGAAAAAAATCACAGAGGCCAAAGGTGGATGGGGTAACTTAAAGTTACAAAATTCAGCAAAAAAAAAAAAAAAAAAAAAAAAAAAAAAAAAGCCAAGGTAAGCAAGTACAGGCATTCACAAGTAAGAATAAGCTCCAGTGTGTTATTTATTTGGAAGCAGGATGGGGATCCCTCCCAAAAGTCTGAATTGCAAAAATCACAAAATAAGACAGTCTAGAATCGATTTTCCATCCCAAGTATGATATCATCCTTAATCCTTTATTAGGTTCAGTCCAAAGGATATATTTCTAACAATTTAAAAAGGGACAGAAGTATTTAAGTGCAGCCACTAAGACGGTTGAAGACTTACAGAGAAAAAAAAAAATCTATCTTTTCGACCTTAAATTGTGACCTACAGTATAGAGGTGTCTCAATACATTCTAAAGATGTATCAGAGCCTGTGAATTGCACACATACAAAGGATGAAAGACACAAATACAGAAAACATTAAGGACAAGTCACATGTCTATACCATGTCCTTAGACCAAAATTCCTTTTGAGTTATTTTAACTTCAGATTATGGCTGATTTTTATCTCTGAGCATTATGCCTCACAGAAAGCCATATTTGCTTCTGTGCAGGACCAGGAGTTCATCTAAACTAGGTCTTCCTGATGTCTAGGACAGGGCTGTGAAATCACTGTAGATAACTCCCTTTTTAAGCTTTAAGTAATGTATATGACTGTCTGCTCCTATGCATTTGTGCACGGTACCTGCAAAGAAGGGGTGGAAGATGTCATTCTGTAAATATGGTTCTTTAATTGGTTAATGAATAAAGCACTGTTGGCTAATACCAAAGCAAGGTAGGTGAGATTGGAGACAAGGAGGACAGAGGGAGAAGTAGGGAGGAGATTCAAGATGTAAGAAACAAAGAAAGCAGAGTGCTGGCCCCTCACTCTGCTAAGATAAGGCCATATGGAAATAATTAGATTAATAGAAATGGTTTAATATTAAGACACAGCTAACCAATAAGAAATGGTAGTAACAGGCTAACAACTTTACATCTAATACAATGCCTCTGTGTGTTACCTGGGGGCTGGTGCAGCAGTGAGAACAGAAAAACCACTCATAACAGGATGTTTGTCTGAAGCCACATAAGCAAAGTACCTGCAAAGGGTAGGACAGGGTACCATCTCCCTTTAACTCAAGTTACAGAAGATGGCTGGCTGTCATGGTTTCTGATAATGGAACATGTGTCCTCTGTAACAACAACCAGTGCTGTTGACTGCTAAGCTATATTTCTAGTCAGCTTCATTATTTAAAATTTATTCTCATGCCTTTTATTTAAACTGTATTTCACCAATTTACCCCTTCATGTCTTTTCTCCATTCCTTTGCATATTCTTCACTTGAAATTCCTTTCTTGTTAAGCATGTATGAATGGATTTGTATGCAAAAACATGCCAATAAAACCAATTGAGTACAATTCTACTGGTTTTGTATATATGGTTGAGCACTGAACATGTGGTATTGGATATGCAATCAGGGAAGTACCCCCTTTCTCTCCCCTCTCTCAATAAACTCAACGTGGGCGCTAAGTCTCGTTTATGTGTTTTATAGGTATTAGCTACAGCAAAGGAACAACAATAATAAATTAATAATGACAGTACTAATAATAACGATGATGATAATAATAACAAAATAATAGTGACACTGATAATGATAATAAAAAATAATAATAACAACAGCAGCAGCAATGATAGAATACCAAAAATAACGATAACGATAATTAAAATGGTAATAATAATAACCCTCAGAATGAGGAGTCTTCCAGGTTCAGTCGATACCCCAAGAACTCAATATCCAGTCCAGTTGTTGCAAAACGCAAGAGACTTCACTGAATAGGAAACGTTTGCGCAAATGGGCTCCTCCAGCATGCTGGCTAGGGAGAAGCCCCCTCCCCTGGGCCCAGGTGTTTTTAAAGGCAAACCCACTAGCTTAGGGAGGGGGGTGGGACCCTCTGTTCACTGAGTATGTGACCCTTGGATGTAGGATGGTCTCGCTATTAGAGTCAGCCGACCTTAGGGCCTCAGGGTGTGCTAATTAATTTTGTCTGGGCAAACCAGCTGCAGCTATCTCTTTGTTTCCTAAGGACCCTATTCACCACCAGTTGACTCACAGGAAAGGAGGGGCAGAAAGGAGGGGCAGTGTGAATTCTAGTCATCTCATGGCCTGGTGAGAGGAAGCTAGCAAATTCCAAGAAACAGATATTGGTTAGCTTTCCAGGTCAAACTGTCCTTCATTTAACTTCACTTTTTGGTCTTTCACTATTAATAATAGTAATAACAATAGCAAGAATAACAAGACTGATAAATAATTATTAACGGTAATATAAATGACAACAACAATGATAAATATTAATAACAATGATGATGATAACAGGATTAGTAGTAATAATAATAATAAAAATAATAATAAACACAACTCTGTCAGTCACCGCCTCCCCCGGGAATCTCACACCGGGAGCCCGGCATTGGCCATTGGGGCAGCATGGGACACACAGGAAACCCTGGCTCAAAAAACCCCAGAACAAAATCAAACAAACAGAAAGCGAGAAACTTTAAAAATAATAATAATAAGCGGTTTTTTACACTGGAATTTCTGTGGCACAAAAGCAGGAAGTGTACTTGGCGGATGCTGGGAAATGGAGTCCTGGCCACTCAGAGCAAAACCAGAAGTTCCTTGCAGAAAAGCAGGAAGTGCCTACACAGGATGCTGGGAAATGGAGTCCTGGATCCTCGGAGCACAGAAGTTTAGGAACTGAAAAGATCGAAACAAGCTTGGTTCCTGATGGGAACTGTAGTTCGGGGGGGGGGGGGGGGCTCGAAGTCCAGAACTGGAAGTCGAAGGTCGAAAAGAAAGATATGGCCACACAGCATGCTGGGAACTGCAATCCCGGACCGTCAAAGATTGCAATCGTTAGTCCATTGGTAGGAAAGCAGGATGCAGCCTCAAAGCATCCTTGGGCTGCCAAAGATGAAAACAAGTCCCTGGGCAGAGAAGCAGGGAGCAGCCACAAAGGATGCTGGTAAATGCAATCAGGGCTGAACGTCCAAACCCAGAAGTCTCTGGGCAGCCTCCACGAACTAAAACCGGAAGTTTCATGCTGAAAATCAGGAAGCCACCTCAAGCACCTTGGGGAATGCAGTCCCGTGCCTCAACACATGAAAACCGGAAGTCCCTGGGCTTATAGGCAGGAATCGACCCCACAGAATGCCAGGAAATGCAGTCCCTGGCCTGAACGTCCAAACCCGGAAGTCTCTGGGCAGCGAAGCAGAGAGCGGCCGCATAGGATGCTGGGTAATGCAGTCCTGGCCACAGCAGTTACAAAAGTTCCTGATGGCCTCGGCTAAGGTCGGCTTTGGCTGCAATCTGCGAGCGGAAGTCCTGCCCCACCCACGAAGATTGGCGTGAGTCTCCGCTGCCGGGTTTCCCTTGCCAGGAAGTCCTGCCATAGGCTTGGGGCCCCCCTTCTCCACCTATGAAGATGGCAGACATGGCCCCCGCCCAGTCGTCCTGCACTCCTCCTGGCATGGGGCGGGGCCTGCAGTGATTGACAGAGAGGGGCGTGGCTTGCAGTGATTAACAGCAGAAGGATCAGGAGGGGGGGAGACCTGGCCAAGGTCTGTGATTTCACTGGGGCCACACCCTGCATCCCCAGGGGTTTTACTGTCATGACCTGCACTGCCACGACCTCCAGGGCCGCTGCCCTGTGGGCCCTAGCATTGCTGCTTGTTGACCTCAGAGTGTGGTAGGAGACTCCTGCCACGCCCACCTGGGGATGAAAATGGTGAGGGGTGGGCGGGAGGTCACCTCCTGCTCCCGGTCACCATTTCCTGTGAGTACACGGTCCGGACCAAGACCTGTCCACCACAGAGGCCACACCCATACTTCAGCCACACACTCGGGGGCCCGCCTATCCTGAATCTGTGCTTCCAGCTCTCGCACCTCCTTACCTGGGAGCTGCCTTGCAATGGCTGGAGGACAGGAAGGAGGGGCTGGCACTGCTGTAGGTGAGGGTGAGGCCCAGAGTGGGTCATTGACTGTGACCTCGGACCTGCAGGGGGCAGGCGAGCTTGGTCAGGGCTGCAGCTAATGGGTGGGCCTGATGCTGAGCAGTCTGGATCAACTTAAAACCCTGTCGCCCATTTAAATATGTAAATGAGACTGGTGTTATGCAAAGGAGGCACTAGTAATTGAGATTATGCAAATGAGCACAGTGCATGCAAATCTGTGAGACTGATTGGGGTTCACATTTGGATATGCAAATGAAAAAACCCGAGTTGTGGGAATGCACTTTAATATGCAAATTTATGGTTCTTTACATGCTTTTGCTATGCAAATGCATGCAAGTTATCCCAGCTGTTTGGGATTTTGACATGCACATATATGCAGGTTATCTCTTTTGGTGGTGTGGCTATGCAAATTAACCCAGGCAGTTTCTGTACTTTCTTGATGTCTTCTGAGTCTCCAGGCAGCATTTGAATATGCAAATCAGAGTGCTGGCAGGGGATGGGGCCTCCCCTGACCCTGCACCCAATGTCACCTGTCCATGTCCATCACAGGCATCCGATGGCAAAGCTGCTCCCTTCAATCCTGCTCATGCTCAACTTTATATAGAAATACAAAAGACACAAGACAGCCAAAACAACCCTGTGCAATAAACGAACTTAAGGAGGCATCACAATTCCAAATGTCAAGCTTTATTACAGAACTATAGTCCTGAAAACAGTTGGTATTGGCACAAAAGTACACAGAAGACCAATGGAATCAAATTGAAAACCCTGGTATTAACCCACACACCTATGAAAACCTCATTTTTAAAAAAGAAGCTGAAGTTATACAATGTGAAAAAAGAAAGCCTCTTCAAAAATTTGTGCTGATATAACTGGATGGTGGTGTGTAGAAGACTAGAGATAGAGTAATGTCTATTGCCATGCAAAAACTTAAGTCCAAATGGATCAAAGACATCAACATATATCCAGCCACACTGAACCACATAGAAAAGAAAGTAGGAGGTACACTTGGATGAATTGTTACAAGAGACCACTTCTTGAACATAATACCAGTTGCATAAAAAGTGAGATCCACAATTAATAACTGGGGCCTCCTGAAACTAAGAAGCTTCTGTAAGGCAAAGGACACAGTCAACAAGACATAACAGCAGCCCACAGAGTGGAAAAAAATCTTCACCAACCCCACATATGACAGAGGGCTGATCTCCAAAATCAAAGATCTTGGGAAATTAGTCACCAAAACGCCAAATAACCCTATTAAAAACTGGGGTCCAGAACTGAATAGAGAATTCTCAATAGAGGAATCAAAAATGGTGGAAAGACACTTAAGAATGTGCTCAACACGCTTTGTCATCAGGGAAATGCAAACCAAAACAACTCTTCGATACCATGATACTCAAGCGAGATGACTAAAATCTAAAACATGAATGACAGCTTATGATGGAGAGGATGTGGATAAAGGGGAACAGCCATCCATAGCTAGTGGGAGTGCAAATATGTACAGCCAATTTGGAGATACCCATATTCCTGAAAAACCACCATACTGATCTCCAAAATGGCTGTACATATTTGCACTCCCACCATATGTGGAGGAGTGTCCATTTCTCTCCACATCCTCTGCAAGATAAGTTGTCATTGGTGTTTCTAATTTTAGCCATTCTGACAAGAATAAGATGGTATCTCAGAGTTGTTTTGATTTTCATTACCCTAATGGCTGAGGATGATGAGCACTCTCTTAAATGTCTTTCAGCCAATTTGGATTCCTCTATTGAGAAGTCTCTATTCAGTTGTGTACCCCACTTTTTTTAAAATAAAGTTATATGGTGTTTATGTGATTAGTTTCCTCAATTCTTTGTATTATTCTAAAATCGAGAACAAGACAAGTTTGCCAATTCTCTCCACAGCTCTTCAATATTGTACTTGCAGTTTTAGCTAGAGTAATAAAACAACAAAAGGATTTCAAGGAGATACAAATTGGAAAAATTAGTCAATCTTACACTATTTTCAAATGATATGATAGTTTTCAAAAGTGTCTTGAAAAACTATACCAGAGAAGTCCTATGGCTGATAAACACCTTAAGCCAATTAGCAGGATACAAGATTAACTAAAGAAATCCATAGCTCTAATATATAAAGACATTAAAAATACTGAGAAAAAAATCAAAGAAACATTACCCTTTACAATAGCCACAAACAACATAAAATATCTTGGGGGTAATTCTAACTAAACAAGTGAAATATCTATATAGTAAGAATTTTGTGTCTTTAAAGAAAGAATTTAAAGAAAACACCAGAAAATAGAAAGATCTCCCATGCTCTTGGATAGGTAGGATAAACATACTAAAAATAGCAATCTTGCCAAAAGCAATCTAGACATTCAAAGCATTTGCCATCAAAATCCCAGCTCACATCTTCACTGACTATAAAAGATAATACTCAACTTTATATGAAAAAAAAGACCCAGAATAGCCAAAACAACCCTATAAAATAAAGGAACTTTAGCAGGCATGACCATTCCTGACTTCAAATTCTACTATAGAGCTATAGTCCTGAAAACAGCGTGGTATTTACATAAAAGTAGACAGTCCAATGGAATGGAATTGAAATACTGATATTAAACCCCTCACATATGAACACCTGATTTTTGATTAAACAGCTAACAGTGTACACTGGGAGGAGGAAAACACCTTCAACAAATGGTGCTGGCACAACAGGGTGGTAGTATGCAAAAGGCTACAGACTCATGTCTATCCCCATGCATAAAACTTAAGTCCGAATGGATCAAAGACTTCAACATAAGTCCAGCTACAGTGAACCTCTGAGAAGAGTACATGGTAGGTATTCTTGAAGGAAATGGTACAGGAGACTGCTTCCTGAACATAGCACCAGTAGCACAGACACCAAGATTGACAATTTATAAATGGGACCTCCTGGTACTAAGAAGCTTCTGTAAGGCAATGGCCATAGTTGACAAAAACAAAATGTAGCCTACAGACTGGGAAAAGATCTTCACCAACCCTACATCTGACAGAGGGCTGATGTCCAAAACACACAAAGAATATAAAGTTTCTTCATCTTGTTTTCCCAAAGTAAACAGCACCCCATGGCCAATGACTAACTATGTGTAGTATGTAGGTGAGTAATTAATTTTTTCGCAAGAGATACACAAAGAGAAATATAAAAAAAAACACACACACTTTAAATTTTCCCCCAATGCACAATGCAAAGATAAATGACAACTCTGTTCACAAAAGTCACTCTCACAGAGATTCCTTGTCACAAGTAACCAGAGCTGTAAGAGTATGCTTTTTCCACCCACCGCCCGGTCTTTTCCCGCCGCCGCCGCGCCAGCCACAAATAACACAGGGAGACTCTGTATTTGATATTATACTGATGGCCAGGTGCTAGTTTCTTATCGGCTAGCTCTGTCTTAATTATTAACCCATTTCTGCTGATCTATGTATTTCTTTACCGGGGAGCCGGCCAGCAAACTGCTTTCTCCAGACTCTCCATCTTGGCTCTTCCTTTCTTCTTCTCCTTTCCTCCTTGTCTCTTAGTCCCTCCTCCTTTCCTATTGGCCAACAGTGCTTTATTCATTAATCAGTATGAGAAACATATACAGAATAACATCTCCCATCACAGAGCAGATAGTTTTCTGTAGATTACCAGTAATTTGCTAATTTTGGTTGGGAAATTATTTTAATACCATAAAATAATTCTCTGCATTCCTAATTAATTTAACTATAGAAGAAATATTATTATTGGTGAGGTTTTTTTTCAATATTCCACAAAAGTATCTTATTTTCTGATGTGAAGACATCCTCATCTCCCACTGTAACAAACATAATCCATGAAACCTTTTCTTCTTGACAACTAATCTCCATGCATGTCTAACTTCTTTGTGTTATCACCATTATCACCAGTAACAAAGTCATTCAGATGACTTATAGCTGTTGTCCACATGGTTTTCTTTATTTTTTCATATTTTTATTAAAATAAGAAACAATACAATCTTATTTTACATATCAATCTGAGTTCTTTATACCTACCATTTCTCCATGTTGCCCAGTGTCACCTATATCATTCCTCCTTTTCTCCATAGAAAGGGCGAGGCTTTCTGTGGGGCACTCTTCCAGGACTTTCACATCATTTCTTGCAGGTCATATTGCCTCCACCATGGGTCTAGGCAAAGAAAATTTTCCTGTATGAGGAATGGGCTTCCATTATCTATTCATGCAGTAGGTATAAATGGTGTTCCTTTACCAGAGGCCCTATAGACTGCTGAGGCCTCCTATATGCAGGAAGACCATTTCTGTCCTTTGCTGGTTTCTAAGTAGTCAATCTGGTATCCATGCACTTCCCCTTGTTCACATCAGAAATTTCAATGGCTTTCGTCGGATGGTCTTGATCTGTTTGCTCATCACTCCTCCCTCTCTACAACTGGATTCCAGGAAGTAGCCACAATGCTTATCAGTAGATTCCAAATAAAATGAATGCTATGTATTTGAAAACATAATTGAGAGCAGTAGATTTGTTTCCAGATAGTTGGTAATACTAGGTGTTGCTTGTCCAAATTAGAGCAGAAAATTATATCTTGTACAGAAATGTTGAGTTTTTGTATCCTTTTATCACAGCAGCCAGAACAGAAAGTATGACATCTCCTTGATGAGAAGGAAACATTAGGGAAGCTTGGACAGAGATTGGGGATATAGAGTAGTCTAAGGGAGAAGGTTAAAACTTTGGGGCAATGGTAACACTCGCATCCTTGATGAGATGTGTGTATTCCTAATGTGCAGAAAGGCATACCTCCATGGGCATTGTGGTATATCAGAGACCTATTTGGCTAA